ACAGCCTCGACCCTTTCCAGTTCCCTGCTCCTAGTACCTCCATCCAAACAATCTTTTGACCTTATTGCTTCTAAAACATGATATTGGTTCTTAAAAGTCTGTGTAGTCTCCATCTTTTCTGATGATCTTTCTTCCTTTTATATCTAGCTTAAATCCCATGTCAAAATTTGCTTTGCAAAATACAGTTTTAGTTAAGTCCTTCTTTCTGTCTAAAAACTAATATCCCTGAGCTGAATGCTGGTGTTGTAAAACAGGCCAGAATGCCAGCTGGCCTCACTTTAAGTTTGAGACTGGTAACCTCCAGGAGTCACACCTGTTGTCTGTCCTGGTCCATTCAATCTTTCACTTTCTGGATGACTGTTTCATACTTTATTTACTTCCCCACTCCTCACTGTTTCCTAATAATCTAGTTTTGTGGTTTAGGGGTATAGCTCAGTGGTAAAGCATTTGCCTAGCATATATAAGGTTCAGTCCTTAGCACCGCAAAACAAACAGACAAGCAAATCAACAAACTAACAAACAAAATTCCTCCCAAATCCCTAGGTTTTTATTAAACTGAAAAGATAATTAAGAGCTTAGGCAAGCTTTCGCTACTCATATCTTTATGCTGGCATCAGTGCCCACCTATGCCCTTTCTCTTTCACTCAGAATGGATGTCAAGGAGAATTCAAAATGAATGTCAAGGTGCCTGTTTTAGTCTCCTTCTTTTCCTGTTGCCTGCTCAAGACATGTGTCTAGTCATTTTTCCTTCTCTTCATCTTATTAATTTTTTCAAAATATTCAATTTCCCTTTCTCACTAGACATTCCCATCAGCCTGCAAATAGGCTATTTTTCCATTCTAAAAAAATCCCTCTTGACCCCTGTATTCCCTCCATCTAGTGATGCTCCCTTTCTTTCCTTTATGGCAAAATTTCTCCACATATTTGTAAATACTCATTGTATTCACTTTCTTTTTTTCCCATTCTCACTTGAAGTCCCTCCAATTCGGCTTTTGTTTTCTCCCTTCTACTTTGCAGAAACTGTCACAAATCATCAATTTAAAAATTCTCAGCCCTCATTTCAGTAATATGAGCATGTGATATAAATTGGTCATTCTTTTCTTGGAAACACTTCATTTGACTTCTAGGATAGCACTTTCTAGCTTTTGTCCTAATACTTTAACCTTTGTTTCCTTCTTATCCTTGCTCATTACTTCTCACCTCTTGTCCCTGTTAATATTAGAGTATCTAGGGCCATGCTTAGATCTATTCTTTTCTCCCTATGTCCCCTTTAAATTTACTAGGTAATCATATGCCCATCCCATGTCATTAAATGTCATCTTTATGTTGAAGACTTATAACTCATATATCCAGTAGTCTAATTGATAGCTCTACCTGAATGTTTGAGGCATCGCAAAGTAAACATCTGCAGAATGAAACTCTTGAATTTCTTATCCCAATATGTTTTTTCATAGTTTTTAATCTTTTTTCAGTTACTGGCAAGTATGTACTTTAATTTACTCATGCTGAAAGCCTTTGAATCATCTTCAGCATTTCTCTGACTCATACACTACATTCATTTTATCATTTTATTTATTCCTTTTGACTCAATTTTTAGAATATACCCAGAGTCTTACACCTTCTACCTTCTCTGCTATTATGCATCATTATCTCTTACTGGGAATATTGCAGTATCGTATAATCAGTCTTGCTGATTTACAAGCTATTCACAAAATACCAGCAGAAGGAATACTGTTGAAATGAGATGCAGAGAATGGCACAACGTTGCTTAGCAACTTCCTGTTTCTCTCACTCACCTGCTTTCTGACTCATTCTCACAGCAAGTGTTTACAAGGGTCAGATTTCTCCCCCTCATCCCATCTTCTTTACTCTTTGACTTTGTCTCTTGTCACTATTTATCTTACTCAAGCGCCTGGTCTGGACTCTGCCCTTCCTTTGATGTGCTGAGCATGCTTTTCCAAGGTCTTTGTACTTGTTGGTCCCTCTTGCTCAGATATTTATTCTGTTGGATATATGTATGGTACACTCATCATTTCCTCAACTTTTCTTAAATGTCACCTCTCAGTGGGGCCTTTCGTGATCTCTGACACCCTTTAAAAAATCACACTAGTTCCATCACCCCCACACCTAATCACTACTTTAATAAAGCTGTCTTCCTAACAGTTAGTGTGATAAACACATTGTGTATTTTACTCATCTATTTTGTTTTTATTGTCTGCTTCCATTGTCTAGAATGTAAGCTTCATGAGAATGTGAATTTGTTTTCTAACACAAAGAAAAGCATTTATATAATGCTAATAAGTACTTTGTAAACAGTCCCATAGTTCTTTAGTTACAGATAAGAAATGGATTTAGTAATTGTTGGATCAGTCATGGTCTGCCTTGCCTCACAGGGTAGTCACTATATGTATTAATTCATCTATTAGGATATTATATACATGAACTTTACATTGAGTTAATTGCATTATAAGATAGAGGCAGTTATCAATATTGTGCATCTTGTTAGTTCTCTGATCTGCAATCAATATATGGGAGAAAATAGAAACAGTTTTTTAACATTTAGCTCATGTTGAAGCACTTTCTGTTAGATATATCATGTAATAATGTTGGAGAGATTTGTTAAATATTTCCTTTGGGGTACAGTAGTTCTGAGAAATTAACTTATCTGTCTTCTAGTGGCAAAAATGCTTTCCTTTCTTACCAAGATGAAAAATAGCCTGCATCCTTTGAACTCGAGACAGCAAGGAATAACTAAGAATGCTGCTTACTTGGTTAAGGTGGCTCAGGCTCCAGGGATGTGGATTCTGCTGGAGACAGCTGCACTTTATGTTCATTTTCTACTGAATTGTTCTTAGTTCTGTACAATAACAAATTTTAAAAACCGTCAAGTTTCTTGTAGTCAGGTAGGGGACAGATGAGGAATAGAGGTCACACTTTCAGAAGATAGTCTGAGATCATGATGAGTATGAATCACACTTTTAAGTTTCTGCAGCTGCTTTTTGAGTTGCAAACTACAGGATGTGTCTAGTTGGCATTTCCCCAACACTTGCCCTATTTGTGGTTCATATTCAAAGGGGATGACTGAGCTGAAAGTGAATTCTTATATGAAGAACTGATATCCCTGGGTTGGAGAAATGAAATATGAAAGCCAGATATGTCCCAAAATGCTTGGTCACCTGACTAGACCATGGGCATTGTTAGCCTCCACTCAGGTCTCTAAAATTAGAATATCACAAAATGCTGTTATTAGCTGAGAGGTGGTGAAATTTCAAATGAGACTTGAAATAAAGTTGTACTTGGTGGTTTGAATGGAAAATCTGAGGAGTTTATCAACTTTCTCTCCGTTTAAACAAATCTCAATTTCCAAATTCTGTCTTATTTTTAGTGGGGACTGTTGAAATTTCTGCTCAGCTCATTCACCTTCCAGAGCTTATTGACTGCTGGGGTTTTGGAGAGTCCTGCAGGAACAGGGGTCAGTGAATGCAGGTTTTGGAAGATATTCCTATGTGGCATGCTTTTTTAAGGTATACTTCCTCAATGTCCAGGTCCAATTCCCTGTCACTCCATTAAGACTGAGTCTGTTTGAATTGTAGTTGTCTCCAACCTATACATTGGAGAGCCCCTTTGTGAAAGCTTATAAATGTCATGAGTATCCACTGTGTACCCCTTCTTTTGAGGGTCAGTAAGTGCTTGCTTTTGTCCTCTCAATGCCTTTATGTAGTTTGTTATATTTTGCTTGAAATTTTTAATCATTACATACAGCAGCATTAGTCTGAAAAGAGGCAACATTGACATTATCTTCAGAACAATAAGTTTCATTATCATTCAATTCATAACACTGTCTCATTTTCATTATAATTTCTTCTTTGAGCTGTGCATTTTTAACACATGTATTTAAAAACCTTTCTGACTCATTTCTCACTTAATTCCACCGTGGTCAAGAGAAAATACTCAGTATGATGTTAATCTTTTAAATGTTATTGAGATTCGGTTTATAATCCAAGATACGGTCAATGAATGTCAATGTTCTCTGTTTACTTTAAAAGGATTTGAGGTTTTAGCTATTGACTGCATTGTCCTTTGTAGTCAGTTAAATCAGGTTCATTCACTATGTTCAAATCTTCTATATTTTTAACCCTTTCTCTTTGGGTATACTTTTCTGTCAGTTACCAAGAGTAGGGTGTTAAAAGTCTCTCACCATATTGTGAATTTGACCATTTTCCTTTTGGTTGTCAATATTTTCCATATTTGGAGCTTATTAAATTTTGCTCTTAAGGTTTATGTCCTTGTGAAATAAACTCTTTAGCAGTGTGAATTTTGTCTCTTCATGTCTGGCAATGCCTTTTCCCTTAAAGTCTGCTTTGTCTGCTATTGATTTAGTCACATCAGCTTTCTCTTGGTTAGGTTTTTCTTTTCTTTTTAAAAAGTTGACATATATTAATTATACAAAGGGGTTTAATTGTGATATTTCCCTAAATTCATATAATGTCTTTTGATCAAATTCACCCCCTCTGTTGTTCTTTATTATCCCTCTCCTCTTTTCAAAACAATTTTAATGGGTTTCGTTATTGTATTTTCATACATGCATATAAAGTACATCCATCCCTCTCCACTTCCCCCTCTCCTTTTGTGCTCCCCCTCCACTGCTGGTTTCTACCTGCAAACAGTCCCTGTTTTACACTCATTAATTTTTTTCTGATGTCTAGATTCTGCTTGTTTAGGTTTTCATTGTACATTTTTCCCTTCCTTTTGCTTACATTTTCCCCTCTTTGTTTTCTTTTAGGTAGTTGTGTTTTGCTTTTATCCTCATGTGACAGTGTTTCTTTTATGGGAATATTTAAGTTACTTACATTTAATACCACTACAAATCATCCATCATGCTATTTATCTGTTTCTTCTACCTGTGTCTCCATCCCACCACTATTGACTTACTAAATTTTCAGATGTATTGTATATTATTTTATTCTCACTTGCCATGTTAAGTTTACTTTTTTTTTTAGGAAAAGATAGAGTTTTTAACACTCCGCTGTGTGAACAAGGAATTGTTGGGTTTGGAATTGGCATTGCAGTCACTGGTGCTACTGCCATTGCAGAAATTCAGTTTGCAGATTATATCTTTCCTGCTTTTGATCAGGTAAGTGCCTCAAATTCAATGTAAGTGAGCATTTTTTTTGCAAGGTTGTTAAGTCTGTGAAGTATTGAAGTATCACCACCTTCCCATCCTCCATCTTAGGTACATTGTGTTACCCTTGAGTTAGTGGTTTACAGTTATCATTTTGTAAAAAGATCTAATAGAATGATTTTAGAAAATGGATTGTGAAGGAAGGACTCATCGTGACTTGTTCCTTCTGTCTCCTCCTTCACAGATTGTCAATGAAGCTGCCAAGTATCGCTATCGCTCTGGGGATCTTTTTAACTGTGGAAGCCTCACGATCCGGGCCCCTTGGGGCTGTGTTGGTCACGGGGCTCTTTACCATTCTCAGAGTCCTGAAGCCTTTTTTGCTCATTGCCCGGGGATCAAGGTATCCTCATTTATATACTTTATTTCATCTGCATTTGATGTGTCCGTTTTGATTGACTCTATGAATACTGGATGATATTTTTGGAATTTAGTGAACTTAACTATATTTAAGAAAGGGAGGTTAGCATTTCTTTTGAATCAACTGTCCAGTGACATTTTTATAGCATGTTCTGGAAGCAGCTTGATGCTGGCATTAATTAACTTCATAGACTTCAAAGACATGACTGAGAACATGGCTGGTTTACCTTCTCCCTTCTTTCAAAGCCGTATGTTTTTAATAGGTTTTTCCTCACATAAGTGCTTCTGGAGTGCTTTTAATAAATCTACGTTTGAGTCCAGATTTACCTCGAGGCTCAAGGATTTTGGTTTTAATCCATTTCTTTTTAAATAGATTGACAGAAGGCTGTTACCTGGGGCCAGGTAACACACAAACAGTTAGCTCTGGAGCATCTCCCTTTTAGAGCTGGCCCCCATAATAGCTTAGGTCTTGATATTAAAAGATTTTGTCTTAATAGTTTACATTATCGTCTTTTCTATTTCGACTCATTGAACAGCTTTCCAGGGGAATCATTATAGAAACTCACAGACAGGTCAATCAGACATGTATGATAGATAGCTTTTGACAACATGACTTGATTATAAACTGTGTTTATGTCTTGTTATTTTTTTTTCCTACCAGATCAAAATCATAAGGTTGTTATCTTGTTTGACCAAAGGCTGTGTGCCATTTCAATGTAAGGTAGAAGTGGTAGGTTGAAACAGAACCACATTTGAGGCAACAGTTATTTTTGTGTTTGAGGTGGATGTTGATACATTTGTATTTAATGTTATAACAGCTCCTAGTGTTTTTGAGAACAGGTTGTTCCACTCCCCCTTACCTTCTCTTCTGCTTTCTCCCTTCCCCTTTCTCTTTCTCATATCTTTTAGCTCAAATGTAAATATGCATAAAATAGAAAAGGCTAAAAATGATAATGTAGAATAGCAGATAAAGAGAAACTACAAAGTACGAACAAAAGATCAAGACATTGTGTGATATGGTTATTAATGAGTTCAGACATCTGTTTGCAGAAAAAAAATAGTAATGAGATTTGTGCTCTATTTTATTTTTCAATAAAATTCCTTTGGTAAGAATAGTGTAAAAATGATTTTTAAAGCCAAATGTATCTTGCTTTAAGGAATCTTATTTGAGGTTTTTGATAAATTCAGACTTATTTTAGTAATTCTTTCTATGTAATGTATCTTTACATTTACATTTACATTTAATGTATTTTTATTTTTACAGTCACTAAAAATTGGACACGGATTTTGATTTGAGGCAACATGGCATAGACTGTAAAGAGGCTGGGCTTCAGAACTAGGTGGAAATTCCTGGTCTAGCAAGCATTGTGACCTGGTTAAGCTTTTTCTTCTTTCTTAATATAGTACTGGAGTTTGTACTTAAGGTCTTGTGCTTGCCAGACAGGCACTCTTATCACTTGAGCCAGCTCCCTGCCCTGTTTTGCTTTAGTTGTTTTTCATGTAGGGTCTTACATTTTTCCTGGGAATGACCTCAGACTGCAATCCTCTTTCCTCTGCCTCCTGTGTTGCTGGGATTGCAGGCATGTACTACTATACCAGGCTTATAGATTGAGATGGGGATCTTGCTAACTTTTTGCCTGTGCTGGCCTTGAACCTTGACCCTCACAATCTCTGTCAGGTAGCCATTCTACCTGGACCTGACTTTTTGATCTCTCTTTAAGTCTCAGTTATTTCTAAATGGTAAAAATAGTAATAATTACTCCATGAGGTTGGTATGAACAGGGGCTAAATTAATTCACATACAGTGCTGGTGAAATTAAAACATGTACTTCCTGCTGTCATTATCATCTTCTCCATCTTTATTTCTCATCCTCAAGAATGTCCTAGAGCTCTTCCCTGTCAACTTGAAGTGTGAAATAGCCACACTTGTTTTTCTGCTCTGCCATAACTGGACATTCTAGTGCCTGAATCATAAAATTCAGTGCATTACTTTTCCACTTATGAAATGAAGACTGTATTTTTTCATGGGAAGGACAGAGATTTGGATATGTTGGAATTGGAGAAGAGAGTTGCACAGATTTTTCAAGTAGTAGTAAAGTATTAGAAGAGGTTACTTAGAGGGAAACACAGGTAAATATTGACAAGTTTGTTCTTGTGCTCTCATGTATACACATGCAGGTTCTATTTGTTACATTGGTAAATTTAACTCCTTAAAGCAGGACCAGTGTCTTAGTTCTCAGAACATGGAAGGTACAAGTATTTGTTGAAAAAAAAGGACAAGATGTCAATATAATAATGTTGATTAGATTAAAGTAAATAGATTTTATTTTAATTAGTTACAATTAATTATTTTTTTATCTTATTTTATCATTTTTACATTTACTTACATGTGTAAACATTGTTTGGGCTACCTCCTCCTTCCTCCTCCCCCCTTACAATTAATTATTTAAGTAGCCATTATGAGGAAAGTTACTGAGAACATACTTTTACTAAAAATGTCTTTAAAACTCTGTTTTTGCAGGTGGTTATACCTAGAAGCCCTTTCCAAGCCAAGGGTCTTCTTTTGTCTTGCATAGAGGATAAAAACCCTTGCATATTTTTTGAACCCAAAATACTTTACAGGGCAGCAGGTAAAAGTTTTCTTTATTCTATATTTGTGAATATCTTTATATACTTTGTTTTACATAGCTCAAAAATATTTTTTTCATAAGCTTGATGTATTCTTGTAGAGAAAATCCTGATTGATTTCTTCTATATTTAGTTTGTCCTCAGATATAAATTTCAGGGAAAACCCATCTATCTATTTTATATGTTCATGGTGGAAACAAAGAAGCAAGGTGAAGTGGTAGCAAGAACAAAGGAACTATGTTATTCTGTGTAACAGGCGCACAGTGAATGTGGGTTGAATGGAAAAGTGAATGAGCACTGGGCCCCAGTGGTTCACGCCTGGAATCCTAACTACTCAGGAGGCAGAGATCAGGAGGATTAAGGTTCGAAGCCAGCCTGGGCAAATAGTTTGTGAGCCCCTAGCTCAAAAAACCCTTCACAAAAAGAGGGCTGGTGGAGTGGCTCAAGGTGGAAGTCCTGAGTTCAAACCCTAGTGCTAAAAAAAAAAAAAAAAAAAAGTGAGTGAGCTAACTTCATAATATCTGCATTCCACTTCAGCTAAAGTGACCATAAAGGTCTTCTTCCAAATCAGGGTACCGTTGACAATGAAGGAGCACTGTTAATAATTCTGCTGTGATATCAGGTCTAGCTGGGGGTACTATCTATAGCAAACTGAGATGTTTGGTCACTCTTCTTTTAACTCAGAATCATAATTCTATAAAAACACATCCGTGACTGCTTATTTCTTAGCTGTACTAGAAAATTTAACCAAAAAGTGTTTTGTCCTGTTTGAACAGTTGAATTTAAAACCACATGTTTTTATTGTGATGCAATTTATGTACAAGAAAGTACACAGATATTAAGTGTTTAATTTGATAGTCCTGTGCATCCATGTAACTAGTATACAAAACAAGATAAACATTTTAATTATGTCTAGAAGCTGCTTCCTTTCTTTTCTCTGCCAATCCATTCTGCCTGCTCCAAACTCAGTCACTTTCTGATCACTGTCAGATTTGTTGTGCATGTTTTTGGGCTTTAGGTTAAGTGGAATCAGACAATATGTATTCTTTGGCTTCTTTCACTCAACCTGATATTAGTGAGGTTCATTCACGTTGTTGCTTATGTCAGTAGTTTGTTATTTTTTTCATTGCTGAGTAGCAGTCCATTGTGTGAATACTCATTGTTTATCATATTATTTCTGAATAGTGGACATTGCCATTGCATTGTATGAAATACACATTGTTGATTATTAGGCACCTTGTTATTATTATTTTATGAATTATGATTGTTACTACTAAGGAAAGTAGTTTCCTCCTTTCTCTTCACCAAACTAACATTCTATAACTAGCATTGCAGCTATATTTCTGAAGTCTGCTTGTTAATGGGGAATGGTTTTTGGCTATATATAGGTAAAAGAGAGCCTGAAAATCTGAGGCATGTACAAAGTTGGTGAATAAGAAACATTCCACTGTGTGAATATTCATTGTATGAATATATCATAATTTATCAATGACCCATGGAACTGGGCTTCTGTTTAACTTCATCGGTTCCTCTGTTGATGAACAAATGTTTATCATTATCTTCAATTTTTGAAAATTGCCTTTTGCAGTATTATTGAGGAAGAGATAGAGATATTTTTCCCAAGTCCAAAGTAGTATTCTATACATGATTACTGGAATAAAGTATTTTAAAGATTCTAGGTAAAGATTTCCTTAGAAGATAAAATATTAGGCATCTAAAAAAGTTAACCTGTCAATGCTAAGAACTTACCCATAATGTATAATTTCAATCTGTATCTATATCATTTATATGACTAAATCCTGTTCAAGAATGACTCTGTTATAAATGTGAATTCAAGACATTAGCTTAGAGTTGCAGTGCACAGTTCTCTGTCATGAATCTTCTTTTCCTGTGGAACATGCTCAGTGTTCTTGTCCCACTCCACATGGCTCTGAATAGGCTTCCTGTCATGCTGTCTGACTTCCATGATCTCAGGATGTGGACATGTGGCACATGCCAGCCATTCTGACTAATTTTCTGGGATTTTCTGTGTAGACAGGACTGTACTATCTATGGGTGGTTTGTCTGAGTTGATGTGAGACCAGGACCCTGTATTATCCTTATTCCTTTAATCTTTGGTTAATGAGTTTCTGCCCAGATTCTTCCATTTGACTCTCAACTTTAAGTTTAACCTATTTTGAGTTTCAGTCTTCTGTAGACCATACTTATACAAAAGGCAATTTTGACTAATATAATACACAATCTTTGTTAGAGAAACAATGCCTCTCATTTAAGATGAAAATATATTCACTTGGGCAATAAACTGCACAACTATAAACTTGCACAATAAACTGCAGCCTTTCATAAATTAATATAGATGCAACTTTTGTCCTAATAGCAGAAGTAGGAATGCCATCTATGTATTCATAATGCTAGCTCCTAAGGTTGTTGATAGGATTAAGTGAGATAACACATTGTATATCTGCCTAGTCTTGAAGCACTGTTCGAACACTTCTGTGCAGGACATTATGCTGTCTTGTCAAGACATGGGGGCTATTTGATATAATCTTCCCTCACAACAGCCTTATTAGGTCTGTATTATCATTATCATCATTTCAAAGGTGGGGAACTGAAAGATTTGAGAAGTTTGATCATCTGCCCAAAGCTACACACCAGGATTCAAACCTGGAGTCTGTCTACAGAGCCAGGTACCTGGCGTATTTGGCACAGATGGTTCCAATCAGTCTTTCCATTGGCATAGGATTTTTTTTTTTGTTAAGAGTCATAAAAATTACAAGTCACAGTCTGGTGTGATTACTGATAGGGGGCTTTAGAGCTTCTCTCTGCACCATGAATTCATTAAGGGACCTAATCCCATGTCCCAGAATAGGCAAGAGCAGATGGGAAACTGAAGTCTTCCTGTGCATAGAGAGAACAGGTGAAACTGTTTAGTAAATGGGCAGCATTGTTCCTGTCCCAGCTCTTTTTGACCTCTCTGACACCCTCGTTCCTGGGCCTGGTGTCAATATACTTTTCTGTATTGAAACCTCTATGCTATGGTCACTCTTTCATGTCCAGTCTCCAACATTTAGAGATGACTTCTTTCAGTTTAGCCATTGATTAGATAAATGATTACAGATAAAATTAAAAAATAGGCAAGTAGTACATTCTTTATGCAGTGAGTTTATTTTTTAATTTTGTAGCATAAATTAATTGTTCAAAGGGTGTTATTATGATATTTACATACATGCATATAATGTACTCTGATTAAATTCACCCTGTTTATGTTACTCTTTCTTTATCTCTTCCCTCCCCATTTGAATAGTTTTTAGTGGGTTTCATTATGCTATTTTCAAATATATGTATAATGAACTTTGATCATATGCTACTTATTTTAAATATAAAGTAAATAGATGCAAAACTTTGTGCATTCTGAATGTAGTAGGAAAAAGTAACATAATAATATTTTTGGATTTCCTGATTACTTATTGTAGTTAAGACATTAAAATGCAATTAATTTTTTTTAGAAATTGCAGAGGATGTTTAGAAAGGATAAAGAAGAACAATTTAGAAAGTGTCAAATGCACAAAATGGTTGTGATTGAAAATGAAAATGAGTCAAGTTACATATCAGATACAGGCATCTGGAGGAAAAGATGTTCTTTTACGTCTTTTGAGCTGCTAGTGTGATTTAATGGAATGAATCATGACATCAGTGATACTGAAGTAAATATGGCTTCACTTTGTGGCTCTTCGAGTGAGAAGCAAGACAGTCTAAGAGATTAAAAGTCTATATTGTCTGATTGCCAGGATTTTTGGAACACACAAAAATATTTCAGGCAAAAATAGGTCATAATTAAGATTGAAGATTTTTAAAGCAAATACACTAGTTGCATATAAATTCACAATATCCTGAAGGGAAGAACATTATTTTAAGTTGTTTTAAAATGACAGAAGACTTTAAAAACATTTTTTTGACCAAATATCATTGTATATAGAAGAAAGAAATTAGTATTTTGTATTTTACATTAAGCTGATTATTTTTGTGCTGGTTAGTACATTTATATTAGATACAGTCTTTGACAGGAATATGTTGAATCTATTAATGAGAGAAAATTTAATTTGTTAGATTTTTGAATTAGTTTTTAAATTGAACTAATATTTGACCAGAATTTAAAAAGCCATGTAAGATTTTGTAACTCTGAATAGCAGTTTTTTACCTGACCCTTCACCATGCTTCTCTCCCTTCAGGTAGCAACTTTCAACTCTTTAGCAGTTTCTTCTGATGCTTAGTCACCATATTTTAAACAATATGCTTCTAGAAACTGATTAAAAGTGTTAGTATTTTAACTCCCTACTAGAAAAGAGGGGAATTTAGCTCTCTTATGTCACCTTTCTTTCTCTAGCATGCACCATCCCTCTTCCTCAGCATATCCAGGTGTCTTACAATATCTCTGTAGACTTATAGTATAATTTATAATTTCTGTTCATGTCATAATTTAGTGACATTGCTATGACCACATCGGTCTGATTCATAACTGAATGGGAAATACATTACTTCATTTCTCCTTTGGTATACAGCTTTTTTCTTTTCTGAATTTACTAGTGATTTTTCTTTTTTCTTTTCATGTGTTTAATTTCCTGTGTTTTTATTACTAATGTAGCTCCTGATCTCCTCACTTGACTCTTTTTTTCCTTTTGTTTGAACACATTAGATGGTCATTCAGATTTTTCTTTTTCCTGTTGGCTTCTGTTCTGTCCTCCTGAATAGTCTAGTACAGTGGTGAAGAATGTGGATTATGGAACTAGGCTGACTGAGTTGGAAATACTTGTTCCATTAGTTACTATGCAGGGGTGGTAGTAAGCTTTGCTAAATGTCAACTGCATACACTAAAGTAGTTCTGTTCTCCTCTTGAGTGGATTTAATTACTTTTATCCCACAATTAAAAAGATGTACACATACTGAAAATCAGATAATTTTATATTTTGATGTAAGTAATGTTATTGGTGGTGACATACCTTGC